TCCTATAGGGCGCCTATCTATCGTCGACTCAACACTCGATTCGTTGAGAGCTTTGACAACAAAACACATCTATTTTGATGTCTAATCGCATCTGAAAAGCATTGACAGCGCCGAAGACATCACCGAAGACACTGTGAGCATCGCATCGGCACGAGTGTCCGCACCCACACCGCCGCCCACGACATGACTGATAACTTCAACTCTCACTCTAATGAGACCAATGCCGCCAACTCGGAGGCCCAGCAAATGCTGGACACCTTCTGGCACCGGGAGATCGACAACATCAAGAACTTGGGACAAGTAGTACATCCATTAGATCCTTGCGCTCACTGCCCACCACTCGCGCCCATTGTCTCCCCCTTCCTGTCCACCCCTTTCCCATACTTCCCATTGTTTTGATCGCTTTTATTGTTAACTCTGTTTTCTAATCACTTTTTGTCTGACATTTGTTTGGCTCCCGAAGAATGACTTCAAGAACCAAGAGTTACCATTGGCTCGCATTAAGAAGATCATGAAATTAGACGACGACGTGAAGGTATGTCTCACTCTCTGGCTCTTAATGGCACAGAATTAACGGTATTTTACTGAATGAATGGATCGGTAGATGATATCAGCGGAAGCGCCGGTTCTGTTCGCAAAGGCCGCAGAAATATTCATAACAGAGATCTCATTGAGGGCTTGGATTCACACGGAAGACAATAAGCGGCGGACACTGCAGAGGAATGACATAGCGATGGCCATCACGAAGTACGATCAGTTCGACTTCCTCATCGACATCGTGCCCAGGGATGAGCTCAAGCCTAACACCAAACGCCAGGAGAACGACGCCCTGCGCTCCGCAGTGACCACCACTCAGACCGTACACCCGGATCAGGTCCAGTACTACCTGCAGTTAGCCCAACAGCACCAGCAGGCGCTCCAACACCAGGGCCCACAACAGACACAACAGATCCAGATCTTACAGACGGGTGCGACGGCTGGCGGTCAGCCCCAGTTCGCAGTGTCGCCGCAGTTAGTGCAGGTCCAGGTGCCCCAGCAAACCAACAACGCTGGCGGTGACGGCCATACCGTGCAGCCAACCACTCAAGTGCTTCAGATCCAGGCGCCGAACGCCACGTCCAACCAAAAGACGGGACAAATACAGATCGTGCAGAACGTGATCAACGCCAACGGAGAGGTCGTTCAGCAACAGATACCCATCCAGTTATCGGCCCAACAGATTCAGGCACTCCTTCAGGGCCAGGCGGGCGGTCAGGCCGGCGCTAATCAGCCTATTATCCTAACCTCACCCCTACAACAGGCCATGTCTATGCCTCAGTACCAAATAGCTACCAGTGCTGCTGGCACTCAATTCCTGCAAACGGTGGTGTCCGGCGGCACCACTAATGTGGCCGGAGGTCTGACCCAACATCAGACCGACTCCTCCCCACAATTGGACGACGAGTCCAACGAGACTTAAGGCAAACACAACACACACGACGATTCACTACCATTTCCCTCATCTCTCACACTGTTATTAATCATTGATTCATTCAAATAGTTATATAAATAATACAATTAATCGTAAATTAAACGCAAGAATCACTTCTTTTCTAAGCGACAAATCCATTGAAAAGACATTTTCTATCGACAGACAGATGTTTACCGATCGACACGTTCTTTGAATGCAACAAATTTTATGTAAATTATATTCAATTGAATGACGAATAAAGTTAAGACTGTTTTGTAAATAAGTCTCATTTTAATTGATAAAATACGCCAATCATTGAACGATACGACAAACTTATGGTTCACTTTTACTTCAGTTTTTGTATTTATTTTATAATTTCAAAACATAGTTACAAATGGTTTAAACTCCGGATTTCTTGGAGTTGAAGTACTCTTTGAGGAAATCCATGGCAGGCGTCTCTTTGCCGTAGTCCTTGACGACAACACAACTGCAACCGACGACTTTGCGGGCCTTCCCTTCTTTGTCTATTTTGCAGAGTCCGGACCACTCGCCCAACTTCTTGTTGTCGTCCACTTTGATCAGATCGATCTGATGCTCAGCACAGAGCGCCTCCACCAGCTTCTGGTACATCGGCTCATCGCAGTTGGTCGCCAACACACACAAGTGGGCCTGTCGTCTGACGCAGACATACAAACACAATAATCAGTCAACACATCACTCATTCCGGTCGCTAATGACCGCTCAGTTCAGCAATAGTTTCAAAGTCTTAAGAGAAGCTATTAATCAGACAATTATTGGGTAACGAATCAGGAGTTTCCGCAAGAGTTTACTCGGAAGAGGGAGTCCTGAAGATTAGTCATCATTTGCGACAAACTAT